GTATCCCTGGCCATATGTTGGATATTTATTATTCTATATTGATGTTATTATTGTAAGTCTTCATTCCAAAAAATATTTGTTTGCAGTGTCATAAAAGCCGAAATTTAAAACTAGAACTACGAATCGCGGAGACAGGAGTGAAGAAAACACGAAAAAAGCAATTCAAGCGGTGCTTAAGAAAAGATGTTTTGAGAGAGGCAACAAGCTAGATGCGTTCTATAAGCGGTTTTGACCTCCTCTTCAATCTGTATGAAAAATTTAATGTTCAAGCCTCTCAAATTTATAATGCTGACGTGATAGGAGTATCGACGGCTCACAAAAATGATTTGTGGTGAAACATTCGATGAGGACTGGATGCGCAGATATAAATCCATCGGATTTGTATTACAACTGTAATGTGTGTGTCGCTAAAACACGATTTGGCCCCTACCCGCCACTTTAAAAAGATACCAAAATTTTACCAGAAATTGAAGTGGGTTTAACAATGATTGGATATTATTTAAGTTCAAATTTTTAATATTCTAATACGAATAAATATATTTTTGATTATTTTTTGTAGTTTTTGTTGTATTACTCTCGATAATATAGTCACAATATCAAAAAAATGAAATTGGCCGGGGCTACCCCTCTTTCCCCTACGTATAGATATATTCTCAATCACAGAACAAAATTCTTAATAAATAAATTTGTAAACTAAATTTCAGTTAATATCCATATAAGTATAAAGTTATAGTGAGGAGGTTTATGGATAATAATGGGATGGTGCACACACGCTGGCGGGGTACCAGTGGAGGATGGTAGGATGAAGATGACATCAGCTCAGTTAGCCCATTTTGAAGAATTCTCCTAGAATTAACCATTTCAAACACATTTAATAAAAAAATACACACCCACGTTGATGAACAGGTAATGTAGGCACTAGCAGTTAGTCTTGATTTCGTCTGTTTTTTTTGCTAGTACCTAAATAGCCAATTGTCATCCTCACAATATCACTCATATTTATTTAAACTCCTTTCAGCTGTTCTGTAATAGGTAATAAACTAAGAAACATGGACAGACATTATATAATTCGTATAGGAATCTGCAACAAGTAGACGTGTAGATAGAATACAACTTTATGTTTTGAAAATATATAATGCCGTATTTTTATGTCATATTTACCTGAAATTTTTTCAATAAGCAATCTTTTTCCTGTCTTCTTTTACATATAGGTATTAGTTTTTTCTTTTCCTAAAACGAGCCATTCCTACATTGGCGACCGAGACAGGATGGTACCTTAGTATAAGTTACCTATGTAGGTACCTATAGCATTTCAGGAAGGAGAAAATTGATAGTAAAGTCGAAATCCAATAACTAAATTTGGTTATCTAAAAATTTATTCAATTTTTTCAGCGTAGAAAACTAAGAAATATTTAAATGAATGATTGCGAATAGAATACATTATAATCCTAAAGATCCGTACTGAATCCTAACATGCAGGAAAACTTACTAGGTCAACGGATATCGCTGACCTATACATATTTCCCTAATGAGAACTCTGCCGTTGCCTACCAACGGAAATGGTGCCCTGTTCTTCTCACATTGCATTAGCAATGCATCAATAACAAGGGGAAGCTTTCAAATATTAAACACTACTTGTGCGATTGTTAAAGTAGGTAGTAGGTAGATGCATAGAAAATAGGTAAAATTACTTATTTGAACTTTTTATACACAGTTTAAAATCTCAAATAAATGAGTAATTGAACCTATTTTCTGTGCACCTACCTAGCAGGCACTTTCAAAATTGCACATTTAGTTATTGAAGCATACAAAGTAACCAGCTGCATAAAGTTAAATCTAATACGAATCTGTACCTACATATATTACTTACTTTCCTATAGAAATCTAATTCATAATCGGATTGATTGAAATAGCGAACAAAAGTCGGGTATAATATCGAGTTAATAATGTACTACTATATATATTAGACTTACTCTTACACATAGCCAAAATGTTTTGTTACTACATTGACTACTTTCTTATATTTCTAGAAGAATAAGCTAACAGGTCGTGTATGGGAAGTAGTAACCATCCCACCCCAGGGCCAGGAACAGTGCCAATGTGAATTAAGGAAGGTGAAATCGTAAGTGACGAAGAGATCGCGGAGTGTTTTGCATCTTATATTCAGTCGATATACAGCTCAGACCGGTTGAGATTGGATCCTCATCAAGCGGAACATGTAGCGGCAGCAGCAGCTTTTGGCATGTCCGTACACCAGTCAATATCGGCTGGCTGACCCTATGCGATTTGCGAACAATTTTTATACTTCTTACCTACCCGCGTTTGTCTGTAAAGAGAATGGTTGGATACAACATAAAGGTCCTGTCCATTATTCCTATAAGTAGGTATATACTTAGGTGGAACCTATACACCAGGGATGTTATGGATATGAAATTTCGGATACGAATTGGTTTCGGATATACGAATGATTATTATACCTACCGGATACGGATGCGGATATCAAATTATTTCGGATCATCCGTTAGTTTCGGATAATTTCGGTTAGATACGGATATTAATTTTTTTAAGGAATTCCAAAAGTAAAATACAAATAACTAATAAACTGGATTTATTTATTTGTCAACATTTGGTAGGAATTACAATCAGTTTTTTTAGGCTCCGCCCCTATCCGATATTATCCGAAAAGGTTAGATACGGATATTTTTTTATATCGGATATCCGATGGTTTCAATATACGCTTTCATGGTTTCGGAGCTAGAAACAAAAAACTGTTTGGCAATTAAGGAAACCTTGCTCTACACGTATGTGATTCAGGCCTGGGTAAGTTTTGTAATATACTAGTTTGGGTTTAATATACGCCTTATTTCCAATGGTCGCGAGTTCGATTTCTGACACGGTACACCTTTGTTACTCAATATACGCTTTCAATGCGTCTGATAGGGTGATAGAAACAACAAAACTGTTTGGCAATTAAGGAAACTCCGTTTAATAGTTCTCTGTATAATACATATAAAATTCAGGTTTCATAATGTAACGTAAGTATAATTGTAAAATATTACCTATAGTTTCGAGGTGTCTGGCGGGAGGTTGAACCATACTAAGTATCTGGCAATGAATAGCGCAAGTTGTAATACTGTTACGAGAATAATGTGAAAAAAATTTGTTTCATCAATTAACGAATTTGATATGAAAATTTCTACATCTTTGTTACCTGCTACGTGGCAAAGGAACCATGATCCAGGTTTCATGGGTGGGGGTCGTTCTTACCTGTGTTGGGGACACATGTACAAGAACATGTTTCACATTTACTAATAAGACGAATGTCTGGCCGTCATTGTCTTATTCGTCTTATTGGGCTATTATAGATACACAACAGAACTGTAGTCGTCCGTAGCTAGTATGTGCCAGCCAGCTTATAGTAATCAATGTCCGGGCACAGAGTAACATCGACTCTTGACTTCCCAGTTTAGAGACCAAATAAACGTAACATACAAAGGGATGTATTGCTAGGCAGAAATTCAAAATTATACCTTGACAACAAACTTCTCTACAACTCTATTGAAACCAATTTGGACCTATGGCATTCAATTAGGGGATTCTGCTGCAAATTTCAACATAAGCATAATACAAAGGGCTCACAAGACATCTTGAAACAGCTTATAAATGCGCCATGGTTTAAAATATCTGAGGTTCATGCGTAACACAATAAAGTGTACACAGTAGCCGAAGAGATAAAACAGTACTACTCCAAGTACAAGACACGGCTAGTAAACCATCCTAACGTGCTGGCCAACCAACTGATAGTCCCTGACAACATACGTCAGCTAAAAAGGCGTAGGCTACTGAAACCCGATAATAAGGACCATCAAAAGAGACGATGATTCTGCTGGGAATCACACTCTACACGCGACGTTTACCACATCTGTTCATAGTCTTCGACTAATTGCAGGATAGACACAGAAAAAAATATTTGATATATGGGAAATAAATGTAAGGTACCTGGGTCTACTGGGTACTACTCTCTGGGTACCGAATATGGCCATACCCCTACAGGACCAAAACTATGGCGCCATTTACAACTTTATTTATATACGTTAAAACGTCTATGTATGAGTAATGCTCAGGCGTCGCTGCCATCTTCCCTGCAGCCCCTTTAGCTCCACAATGGCAGTCGAAGTGAAACCACGTGTCACGGATACAAATATTCACTCGTAACTTTCGATGAGTTTCTTTGTTTTTGTTGACTTTTACTTAAGAGCATTTAATCTATTTTTGTCATTAGTATTCATACGTCATATGTATATGTACATTCTCAAGCTTACTTTTGTATATTTTTGGTTTTTATCTTTTAAGTGAAATATCGAGTATGACTGAAAATATGACCACTTAGTGGCCATATTTTCGGCACCTACTACTTTGTTTTGTCGTTGTTTATCTTAATTTTATTTATTTATTTTTCCTTGCAGAATATGGCTTCATGATACATACATACAAATGAGATCGGAGGAAATTGGTCAGAATCTGATATGAAATCAGCAATAGCAGTCGTCAAAAATGGTGAAATGAAGGTTTTATCTGCTGCCAAACAATAAAGTTCCCAGACGAACACTTCGACGATATCTTACAGAGAAAAAGAAAAATAAATCCAAGTTAGGGAGGAAACCACTTCTTAGTAATCAGAAAGAAAAGGAGCTGGCGTCTCGTACCCAAGAAAGTTGGTATGTTGATTATGAACAGTCATACGATGATAAGTACTCTTGAGAGTGACATGCATGTATTATTGCAATATTACAGAATACAGAGTTGAAACAGAATTTGTCGAGAAATAAAAGGCGGCACCCCTTCAAAGATTTCGAAAAAAGATCAATTGTATTTACCTTCTATTTTTCTTTTATTATTGAATAGTGAATATATTTATCAGAGTATAAGTATTATTTAAGGAGAGAATTACTTTAATTTTATACTGTAAAATAAAAATAGATACAATGTTTTTACGTCTGTTTATTTAATTTTATCATTAGAATGGTATTTGTTTCAATATTTTTTTTATCAATTTAGCTATACATAATATATGTCATATAAACCTTGAACTTGTTAATAAAATTAACAGAAACAAAACGCCTTTTTTGGAACATTTTAACTTGATGTGCTATTTGGATAAAAATATAATATTATCTAGATTGTAAGTAACCTGGTCAGCTTGGAGCCCCTTGACTTCTTTACTCGGGCGTTAATAATTAATCACTTAACATACGTTTACTCGCAAAAAACAAAATTAATTGAGATAGCTTACTATCACAGGTTAGCTATATTTTTTTAATTAACCAATTAAAAATAATTTCTTGCTACTTTTACGTCATTCAATCACTAGAGTTACGAGACAAAAATGTTGCAATTTGATTATAGAAATGCTGAATTAGATTGTAAACTTGAAAACTTAATGACAATACAGCCACTGAATATGTCTAACAAAATTAAACAAATATCAAGAGGTTCTTGAAATTGTAATTAACTTTGTACTTTTCAGATGAGTACCATAATTGGATGGAAAGATTAATGCCATTTCTTATTATTCTAAATGACAAATCATTTCATAATTATTTAAATACAGAAGAAACTAAAAATATTACAGAACCTAACCTATAATAGGAATACGAGACCATATAAAATTGTTATCCCCCTTTCTTCCACTTTTCACCTGGAGTATATTCAGTCATTGGTCTGCCGGATATGCCACAAGTTCCAATACCTACTCTTCCCGTAAGGTTATCAGGTGACGCAAATATACTTTTTGATTTCACTCCAGCCTTTTTGGTGGCTTTTGAATGAAAAGAGAGCCATTTATTTTTCTCACTTTCTCTTTCTTCTTCGATCTGTTTAAACCTTTGTTGTTTCTTTTGTTTCTTCTTTTTTTGATACTCTCTATTGTAACCTTTTCCATGTCTGAAAATAAGAGAAACATCTTAAAATAAATATGAATTGCGTCTATAAAAATTTGATTGTATTATTATAATAATTATCTAGACACGCGGTAGCGTGTCAAGCCGATTAATAATACAATCCCTGGACAATTCACACAGTGTCATTTTATCCCAATTTAAGCAATGTTTGTGTTATGGGTATGAGTACTACAACATACTTAAGAAACACATAGATTAACATAATTCAATCATATTTGAACCTGCAAATTTCAAAAGTAAACTAGTGAAATTATATCAGATATTTAAAAAAAATTGCAGCATTTGAAAAGTAAATTATTCCAGATAGTATATTGCACAATATAAGGCAAGTCGTGGTTATAAAATCAGATCACTTTACTATATTTGATTTTGAACAGTTTTATTTCTTTTTCAGAAACATTTCATTATTCTGTAATATTTACATTGTCCAAGTATGATTGTTTCAGACGTTCTATAACAAATACTTTTTGGAAGTATAAATAAACAATTTGAAGCATATATCAGGCCATGCGTTGCATTGGCTAAGGTTAAATAATATTGCAATTATAAATTGAGATGTAAGCTATCCTATCTTTCAAGTTGGATCAAATTGCAGACAATGTGCAAATCAAATTTGTAATCGGTTCAGTAGTTTAGGAGTCTATCACAGACAAACAATGTAACAAGTAATTTTTATAATAAATAATATATATATAATACTTACTTGCTTTCATCTCCACTTGATGGCCTTTTTAGGGATGATCCTAAAGGTTTTATATCATTAAGTGATACCACTTCAAGGGTTGTGTACCCATCAAATTTTACTTTTAAATTATCACCACCAACTTCTTCTATTAATGCTTCATAATACCTTGAAATTAATTTTATATTATTATTATTACAAACTAATTGAAAATAACATTTTAGTGTATAAACTAAAATGTTCAAATACTTACAATTCAGTGCTTGGAGTTGACTGTAGAAAATGTTTTATACAAACATAAAAAACAAACCTCAGTATACAATTACAAGTCTACTATTATTACTATGGACAATTCACATTATGGCATTTACTCCCAAACTAAGCAGAGTTTGTATTACGGACTAGCTTTTGCCCGTGGCCTCGCTCGCGTTAATTTATCCCCTTAGGGGTGAAGTTTATCAAAATACACCAAAATTACTTTTTTTTATACAACTTTTGCCTGTCTGTTTATTCACGGGTACAGCTAGTTTTAAATAAAATAAAAATCTTAGGAGCATTATTTCATTTGGAGTAATCAGGGGTATTATTAGGTATGTCTGTTGTCATTAATACAATACTAGCAAACTTGGCTATGGCAGCTTACATTAACCTACTACCTACATGTATGTGGGTAATATCATTATATAAATTATATACCTTATCTATATATAGCTCAAAAAGTGCCGCTTGTAGGTCTGTGGCAGACATTAAAATATCAATAAAATTGAACATTTTATTCATTATTCAATTCTACAATAAATAACAATCCTATAGATATAGTAAGTTATAAGATCTGTGCGTATTAGGTACATAGGTTGATAATGAACTGTTTTTTTATTACTTTCTGTGTAGTCGAATAAGGACATGTTAAGTAATAACAGTTATTAGGTTTTACTTATAATCGTCATCATCATCGCAGCCCGGAAGACGTCCACTGCTGGACATAGGCCTTCCCCAAAGATCTCCACGACGATCGGTTCTGCGCTGCTTGCATCCAATGCCTTCCAGCGATTTTGACCAGATCGTCGGTCCACCTTGCTGGAGGCCTTCCCACGCTGCGTCTTCCGGTCCGTGGTCGCCACTCGAGGACTTTACTGCCCAACGGCCATCTGTCCTACGAGCTATGTGCCCTGCCCATTGCCACTTCAAAGTCGCAATTCTTCGGGCTATATATATTATAATGCCTAATCATAATTACAGTAGTTCAAAATATTTGGTACAGGCTAAGTATATTTGCAAAATTATGACAAATTTTGGATTAGAGTTGGAATCCAAACAAAGAGGCAATATAGTCCAAGTGCTAGGTTGTCAAGACACTTGTATAACAGAAACATTGCTGACTATTCTGTCATTCAAATCACAACAGATGTTGTTTCAGTTAGAATTACAACAGTATTTTATTACTGATATCTACTGAAGTGATTTCCACAAAGATTAAATGTCAGAATGGACTTTACAAGTTATGTCAGTAAATTATTTTACTGATTCAGCCTAGTACATTCTGTGCAATGTATTTCAAATTCAATCAATGAATTCAAATTCAAGTCATTTGTAATTTAAATATCACACTTACAAATATACTTGTAATATTTGTAAGTGTGGTATTTAAATTACAAATTTAAAGGAACTTAAGAGAACCTATATTTATTTATTTACAGTATATATACAGTCAGTAGATTGTGGTAGTGAAGTAAATCCCATTTCTTAGATTATTTGGGTTAATACAATGTTTGTGTGAGACTTACATGCTATCAGATCGCCACTTTGCCATGCATTTTTCACCCACTCGCCAGCTTGTATAGGAGTTGTCTGCAGGTTCTCCATCCTCTGCAGCCAGCAGGGACGCTGTAACATCATCATCATTACTAGAACCATGAATATTAGGCACTTTGGAATCACCGTCTTGAGTTTTAATTAGATCTTGAGTCAACTCAATTACTTCTTCCAAATCCGCCTTCAACTTTAGTAATTCCTCGTTTTGAGCATCTGTAAGTAAGGCAGCTTCCACCTGAAAATAAACAATTGTGACAGTACAAAGTTATACTTGAGATGTAGTTTCAAAAAATTGTGTAATATCTACCTGTTGTAACTGAAGTTTATAATTTCTTAAGTCTTCGGCCATAGCTAAAAACACTATTATTATGACTAAATTTTAAATATAATGATTAATATACAAAGCCGTAAACGTCAAATAAACATAACCACAAATGTCCATTGTCCATAAACAATATCTGAATTAGGGTTAATAGGGATTTAAATTTTGATTGATAAACATCGATATTTTTAAATCTATATCAAATCATCGATAGAAAAGGTCAGTCGAAACTCAAAGTAACGTGATATCGTATAGAATATTTTACTTTAATACTAAAAGACAGTTGAAATTTGTACGGTAGGATTTTTCTTAACACATGTCATTTAAAAATTTTCACATCATACAACACTTGTTTTATTTATCTATAATAATAAATGTATTCGAGAAAAGGGCGGGAAACGTTAAACTTGGCGGGCGCGTTTTTTCTTTTGATTTAAATTTTATACTTATTTTTCATTATTTAGTTTGTTTATTGTAGTTTGTATATATAGTTAGCTGTTTTATTGGTAAGTTTTTTGTTTTTTCATTTCAAAGGACGATCCCCCCGACTCGGGGGGTTTCGTCCCTCCGGCTTCTAACTATGTTACAATTTCATCCGAATCGGGTATGGAAACCGATACGTCTTGTTCAAACCGATCAATAAAACGCAGTCGGTTACAAAGATTTTGTAAAAGTTGTAATAAACGGAGAAGAAAAAATTCTTCAGATAAAATTACAGATTGCCACTGTACAGATGACATAAATGATGGCATTGTAATACAAAAACCTCTCACGGAAGTAATTTCCACTCCACAATCTGTAAATTTAGATCTCCCTCATCCACCCACATCTAAAGAAACAAATGGAATTAATAATATTTCTGAACCAGTAGGAAGGAAAATGTATGAACCCACAGACCATGCCCCATACTTAGTTCATGTAGTAAGACAAGAAAAGTTTCCAAATGACGGTACTACACTTCACCCTGTGACATTTGATAAATTCCTCAAAAAACAGTATTTTAAAAATATTATTAATGGAAGTGTAAAACGCATTGGCGAAATAAAATTGCATTATCTTTCTCAGTTTACCATGATGCTAATACATTCATTAATCTTAACAGTTTAAATGATTACAAATTACAGGCTTTTATACCAACATTTAATATTACACGTATGGGTCTGGTACGAGGTGTTCCGAGTGATTGGAGTCCAGATGAAATATTACAAAATATTTGTATTCCTATCGGTTGTGGCAATATTTAAAGTAAGACGGCTAAATTACAAAGTTGTAGTTGATGGCTCTCCCACCTGGAAACCTTCTCAGACAGTAGTAGTCGCATTTGATGGTCAGGTACTACCAAAAAGAATATTAATGTGTTATAATGCATTACCAGTGGAATTATACACTTATCCAACTATGTAATGTTTTAATTGCTGTCGTTATGGTCACACTAAAATTCAATGCAGGTCAAAGCCACGTTGTTTTAAATGTGGTCAAAATCATACAGGAGAAACATGTGATGTTGAATATGCTTTTTGCTGTTTATGTTCAGAAAATCATTTTTCTACTAGCAAATCTTGTTCAGAATTCAATAGACAAAAACAAATAAAGTTATATATGGCTGAAAATTATATCTCGTATGCTGAGGCCTCAAAATTGCACCCTGCTGTTACAAAGCCTTTTGCTGAAGTCCTTTCAACGCCATCAGCACATGGAACATCATTCAGCAGTATTCAGCACTATAAAACATATATCTGAATCAAAAACTTCTAATGATACTGCTTTTAAACACTCTTATAAAAAAACCTAAATCTCCTCGTCCATCCTATGTTGGGTATGATAAAGTTGCCCATGAGAATATTATAAAAGATTTTAATATACCCTCCCCTTCTAATGGCTGTGCGCTTAACAGTCTGTATAAAAATGAAAGTCAATCTAATTTTACAGAAGTTAGCTGAAGCAGAAATTCTAGATAAGGCATCAGCAGCGAAATTATCCTTACCGGAAAGATAATTCAGACGCCATCGTTGTATCATTTTTTATTTTACTATATGCGTTATTTCATTAATCAACTTACTTGTAAGTTCTAATATAATACCGTTCCACGTTGTCCCATTTATAGAAATATTCAAAAATCTACTGCATAATGGACCAAGTACTCCACAATGGAATTGCAGAAGTGTACTTAGCAAAAAAAGTGATTTAATTCATTTAATCAATAAATATCAACGACCACTTGTTATTGCACTAACTGAAACTTGGCTTAAACCTGATTTTAATTTCAAATTATCAGAATACTCTTGTATTCGAGATGATAGGCCAGATGGGTATGGTGGGGCCGCCTTACTCATCAATAAAGCTACTTATTTTTCTTCTATTTCTTTGCCTCTTTTTGACAAAAACAATATTTCTATGGCTGCTGCTGTTGTCAGCAACATTTGTTTAGTCTCCTTTTATATACCTCGTCCTTCCTCTTCAATTATTGCATATTTAAATGAGTTATTTTCAATTCTTCCTAAACCTTTTTTAATTATGGGTGATTTCAATTGCCATCATCAAGCTTGGGGCGGCTCCTATTCTAATTATATAATATTCACCATGGTGAGCAATTGTTAGGCCATTTTGATTCCCATAATCTGTGTGTTTTAAATGACCCAGTACCTACTCGTATTACTGCTCCCACTGAAAGAAATAGTGCTGTAGATCTCTCTATTTGTTCTTCCAATTTATCTTCCTTTCTATCATGATCTATTCTTTCATCTGCATATGGGAGTGACCATTTTCCTATTATAATTTCATTTCCAATTCATAAAAAACATCCTCGAAAAAGAAATTCTTTTTACAAACATAAGTTAATTAATAATAATAATTGGGATAAATTCCAAATTGGTGTACAAAATAAATTATCATCTCTCCCTCCTATTACTTCTGGTAATGAATCGGACTGTTCTGAAGCCCTCAGCAAAATTTTGATTCAAGTCGCTGATGAAGTTTTTCCTTTAAACATACATAATAATAGTAAAATTCCTTCTCCACCTTGGTGGGACCATGACTGTACTATAGCTATTAAATCCAGGAAACAGGCAGAAAGATTATATTGTAATGATATGACTTTAGAAAACTTCACCAATCTATCTGCCCTACTAGCCTCCACCCGGAAACTTTTAAAGAAAAAGAAGTCAGAAGGATGGAAACGTTTCCGTTCTTCTATTTCGCCTCATACTCATCCTTCCCTTGTATGGCGTAATATAAAAAGATACAGATCTGCTTTCCAAGATTCTCCTGTTTTTACATTATCAGAGACTACAACTAATGAGTTTCTAGATCGTTTAGCACCACCCTACGTATCTCATATGGATCCCATAACGCGGCCACTTTCCACCAATAAAAATATAAACTCTTCAGCTCTTGACAGTCCTTTTACATTTACGGAACTTAAAACCGTTCTGTCTCATACGAAAGATTCATCTCCAGGAAATGACCACATTCCATATTCATTTTTAGCGAATATTAGTGATGAATGTATGTTGTATTACCTTAATCTCATAAATTCAGTAATGTTAACTGGGAATATTCCGTCGTCATGGAAACATCACACGGTATTGCCAGTTAAAAAACCCAACAAATCTTCCAATGACAGTAGTTCATATCGTCCTATAGCTCTTTCCACAGTTCTTTTAAAAATTGCTGAATATTTAGTAAAAACCCGTTTAGAGTGGTATGTCGAAAGTAAAAAAACTATTAGCTGAAAGTCAGTATGGGTTTAGAAGGGGTAAAAGTACATTAGATGGAATCAGTCTGTTCGTTTCAGATATACGTTTGGCATTCTCTAATAATCAGTCGGTAGTTTCAGTTTTCTTAGATATTAACGCTGCGTATGACAATGTCAATATTAACATATTATGGAAAAAGCTTTGCGATTTGAATGTTCCTCCAATACTTTCCAACTTTATTATTAATATTTTGACGGAAAGATCCATTAGCGTTATATTGTCTGATTCTAATATTTTGTCTCGAGTTGTATGGAAGGGTCTCCCGCAGGGATCACGACTCAGTCCTCTTTTCTATAACATCTATACATACGACTTAGAGTTATATGTAAATCAAAACAGTGAGAAAGTCGTTGTACTTCAATATGCGGATAATTTATTAATGTATTTTATTGACCATTCAGTTCAAAAAGCGTGTTTTTTAATTTCCACTTCTTTAGAAAAATTAAACAGAACTTTTACTGCCATCCGAGCTCCCACTCATCGATCTCCCTGTCTTCCATTATTTAGAATAGAATAGAATAGAATAGAATAGATAATCATTTATTCAAATAAACTTAATTTAAGCACTTTTGAAGAGTCAACATTTTTTTAAATCTACCGCTTATTCGGAAAGCTGTCTCATCACAAGAAGAATAACTAAGAAACTTTTAAACAATCCTTGTAAGTTCACATTTTACAAGTCGAAACGTGTGAATACAAATTACCAACCAGCACTAATTTATTTAGGCTCAAATATAAAAACACAATAAGATTAAATCAGTCGTAGTGATAAGAGCAGACCAGTCCCTACAAGCAGCACTCGTTCACGAGTATGACGGATGAGCCAGCATATTTTAGGGAGCCCAATGACCCGGCCCACCACGCCGCCACATGTCTGGACATTTTAGTGAGCATGACTACTCATTCCACTCGACTACGTCACAGCTACAAAAATTACTATATGGTAGTTACAGTATTCGCACTTTACATGAGGATGCATGCGGCAATCAATACAAAAGCCGCTACGCTATCATATATCAAGAAAGCAGTATGAAAAATAAATTATAACGTTGTCCGCAAATAAACTTATACTTGCTAATATATTGCTATCATCTATCCTATAATAGGCTTTTTTACATAACATTTGTTTAATATAAAGTTTGAATTGCCTCTCTGTCAGATTTAGCGTAGATTCTGGCAGTTTATTATAGAATCTTACGCAATTACCATAAAATGAATCACTAACTTTGTGTAGACGGCATTTAGGTAAAATTAACTTATTTTTATTGCGTAAGTTTCTACTTGTACAGTCTTTAAGTTTCTTGAAACTATCTAAGTTTTTCCTTGTATACATAATATTTTCATGAATGTACTGTGAGGCAACGGTGACGATATTTGATTCTTTAAAGCATTGACGTAATGACTCTCTAGAACCCATACCATAAATAGAACGTATGGCTCTCTTTTGTAAAATAAATATAGTATTTACATCGGCAGCTTTACCCCATAGCAGTATGCCATATGACATAATGCTATGGAAATAACTAAAATATACAAGTTTTGCCTTTAGTTCAGCATATGAATCTTTAACTTTTACCCCCGACGTTCATTTTGATATTAACATTGAAAAATAACATCCTAATGTAAATGCAATGTTTAATCAAGTAGTAAACTCTAAATGGGAAAGCCATCATCAAATTTATTGTGACGCATCGGAACACACATACAGGAAATGTTGGTGTAGGAATTTATCACTCACAATTTCATATAATTCAGAAAATTAAATTTCCACCAGAGACCTCTGTTTTTACTGGTGAATGCTATGGAATTTTTAAAGCAGTAGAATATATTAAAATTTTTAATCTTAAGCAAACTGTTTTATTTACGGACTCTAAAAGTGCTCTTCAAGCTCTAATTAAATGTCCATTCAAATCATCTAAACAGTATCCTCTAATTTTTTATATCCGAGATATGTTGAATAGCATTCGTCTCAAAGGACATATTGTATCTTTCGTTTGGATTCCTTTTCACTGTGGCATTCGGGGCAACGAAAAAGCAGATTTGCTTGCGAATGAAGCTATATTATCTGGAGATCTTTTTCCTTATAAAAACTTTTGCCATGATTTGACTGCCTTGTCTAAATCTTGTCTTCATGACTCATGGAGTCAAGATTGGACAATAAGTAGCAAATGTAAAGGGAAACAGTACTGTTTAGTCCATCCGTTTATACCTCTTAAACCGTGGGTTTTCAAATTACATCTTGATAAAAGATCAACTAGTGTTTTGATTCGTATGCGAATTGGTCATGTTTGCAGCCCTGAACATTTAACAAAACTACGTATAAAAGACAATAATATCTGTGAATGTGGAGAAGATGTATGTAGGTGATCTCAATCATATTGTGTTTTCCTGCTCCTCTTACGATGGTTCTTCATTTATAGAGACACTCATCTCATTAGAAATTCCTTTTCCTTCATCCATTGTATGCCTATTAGCTCATCCTAGTCCTATAATTTATAAATCTCTTGCCTCTTTTATTTCCCATAATAACATTAAACTTTAAAACCCATGATCACTAATTCCGAGTATATTCAAAATTGAACCCGTTCCTTTCCATTATCCCGTCTCGTTTCCTGTTTTTAGTGGCATAATAGGCAACACAACTAGTGTTGCCAAAGAAAAAAAAAAACATTTATCGTTGTTTTTTTTTCGATATTTGTTAAATTTATATACTCTCGGTATCTCATAGATCCATGTTTTTTTAATATCAATCGGTTAATCGTAGTCAATTGCACAATACACACATGTCGCTACTTAATAGATTGTTTATATATGTATGTAGGTAGTGAGTATACAGGTAGAATGATTGTACTATTTATTGTACATAGTAAGTTTTTTGGATACGCTACACGACTTATTAATAACGCGAGGACTCAATGCGGAGTCGTAATACGGGACTTAAAACTACATATGTTATCTAGAGAGGTACTAATGGAAGGGTGTCGAGTGTTGACGGAAATATTACAAGTGTAGGCACAATGATATAGAATACATATTATTGTTAATAATTTTATAGTTGGGTACATGTTATGTATAAGTACATGTTTACCTACCTATATGTATTGTTGCATAAAAATATAATGATGAAATAAATGTACTTTACATTTATATAATTTTAAGCCAGTACAAATAACAAAATGATGTCAAATTATATATTTATTATAAAATTATCTTAATTTAATAATATATAGAAAATTCATTACTCTGTCGTTTTAAATAATAGGCACTAAAATATAATTTTATATTAGCTATAAATTAACCTTAGTGGCATACACTGTTATGACTTAAAGATAAATATTTATTTAACTAATCAAAGCTTCTTTTGCAGTTTTACTAAAATATAAATGAATGCAAATATCACATTTAATGAGTACTTATGTTCTTACATTATTTGCACAATATTTATATGATATACTTACTAAAGTGAGATCAAAAAAGATTAGTTAATTTTCATTATACAATTGTGATATCTGTATATTATGTAAAATACTATGAATAACGAATTCTTTTATTAATCTCTCTTGTTTCTATTGAATATAAAACAATGCATATTTACTATATAATAAAATAAATAGATACTCATCAAACATCTTAATATTCAATTTATACTGTAAATATAATTAAGAGACGGTCATTTGTAGTATTAATCTCATAATCACACTTTTGCTACAGTCCAAAACGATGCTCCCTGTGAAGCATTTCAGCATACTGTATCTTTTATTATTATAAACTCCATTTTAAATACAACGGTATGATTATGTATGATAAATAAAAAAAAAACAGCATACATAACATATTTATAGGGTTAGTCATAAAGTGTAAACTAACCTGTAAGTCTGGAAGAATACTTATGAAATTGGTCTACTTCGAAACATGAGTATTGGTAGTCCTGTATATTATGTTATCCAGCGGTAAAAATAATATTAGTTAGATTAGCGTAGTACTAAATTTGTCTTATGTCATCTGCAATCAGACAATTAACTTTTCATCAGATTTGATTTGCGTAGTACTAGATGAATAAAATAAGTATTCTCATAATTGCAATTACCGATATAGTAATCAGAGATATCGTCAACTTCCAATTTTAATAAACATTGAATAAAGTAGCGTTACATTACATATAATTATATAACTAATAGCTATCTATTGTTAAATAAAAAGTTAATTTTAATTAACTATGTAATTTTTTATTCTTACCCATGAAATTAAAAATGTCAGTGTTTATTGTTGATTATATTCTACTTAAGGATATTCAACTTTTAGTGAGTTAAAAATTATTAATTATAAATTGATTAGTACTTTAAGAATGATTGTATTTTGGTTGAAATTATAATATATATATTTTACTCAAAATTTACTCATAATTTAATTATAGAGTAGTAGTGACAATGTAATAAAATAATAGGCTATTAGTGTAATTTTATATATAAAATTATACTAAAAATCAGGAATTAGCAGTATAAGGTAAATAAATAATTAATTTAGTATCTATAGTCAAGAATAATAGTTGTATTACATTATAGTACATTTGGATCATATTATAATGTAGAAAATCAGTCATCAGTGTTAAGCTCATTCAATGCATTATCTCACTATATAATGATTGCTTTTATGATTTTCCATTCAGTACCACCATAAGAAATCAATATTTAGCCATTGTATGTATTGTTGTAATATAGTAGTAGTGAGAAATTTAAATGTACATTTAAAACAACTAAAAGTATATAATATATACTTTTAATGTTCTCTACGATAAATATCGTGTCATGCATGAATATTGGTGGTCTTGTGGATGTCAACAATAGTATCATATGGTAAATTATAAAAGCTCTCATTTAAAGTAAAATTATTGTATGGCTAATAACTAACAATTCCTTGCTTAGTGTATTATTTCAAACAATATATGTAATAAAAATAGTATATTAATCGAGACAAAACTGTACGTCTTGCCGTCCTTACTTATTAACCTTAAATAACATACATTTAAGGTTATTATTAGGTAATTACGATGTAGATAATACACTTTTTATGACCTGGTTGTGATGCGTTTTCTTTCGATACCGTTGTCAGGTACTAGTTCCCACATAATTATATTCCAATTTAGATTTGTAAGCTTTCATAATACGTTTATATCTACGTAATATGTAATAAAATTCTCAGTAATGATTACATGAACTCGCAACTGTCAAATAATTGAAATAGAATCCCAGGATACTTTTAAATCAATCCATCAATTTTAAACAAGTCCCTTAAGTCTAGTAATTGATCATATGATCAATTACTGTCCTACAAAAATATTATAACATATTATTAATATTATGAAATAGTTGCAAGTACACGATTCCATCATATATACAAAATAAATGAAATAAAGAAGAAACAAGAAAGAAGTCATTATGTATCATTGTATCATATAGGCGATGCTTGGATACCTGGATACAGCAAGCGTTAAAAATGTATTTTATGAGATCTCATAAACATACTGAATATGTTTAAGGGTCACTTACACAGTATAGAATCTGTTTCGCTTAATATACCATTTTGGGTACATATATATGCCTTTGATATTAATTTATTATATTACCGCCATTAACGTTTGTAGCGGTGTAGAGCTGTGCTCTGCAGAGTGTTTTAAGTTTAGCAGTATTATTTTATTTATTCTTACTGGATTTGTTGATGTGTGCTTCGTGTTAAGCTTTTATATTTACATTTCGTTATTAGGACTAACTATGTACATTGACGAGGTGAGTTTGCAGCGCAGTAGACTGGTGGTAGCGACGACGTGAGGCGAAGTCCTCGTTGTCGTCATTGAGTCGCTCCTGCTCAACTGAGATATTTGCATGTACGGGAGTCACCACTAGTTGCTCATATTCTAGAGGCCGTTTCCTGCATTAATTGAATTAGATATTTATATATAATTAGGTTTTTAGTTTTTCCTTCTTGGCACCCTAACACCCTGGTTCAAACAAGTGTCAGAAAATTTAATATATACATATCGTATTATTGACAAAAACAATAAAGCTATTACAGTTATTTAATTATTTTGTGCTTTATTTGCCGTATTCTTAATTTAACAACTTTTAATTGAGTCAAATATTTTATATGTAATAAGAACATAAACATTTTACAAAAGTTAGTGTACTTTTGTAAAATTTTGATATATTAATCTAATGTATCATACCCAATTGCTTGTAAGAATGATATTTTGAGCCAGTAAAAGAAGCGAAATTCTGATGCTCGACCGGGTTTCACGGCGGGGTTCGCTGCTCCGATGTATAACCACAACAACCACAGAATAGATAAGCAGCCAAGGGCGTAGACCCAATGAACTAAGAACATTAGGAGAATTTTTACAGCAACCTGAAAAAAGCATCATTTATTTGAACAATATTATTCAAATATGAATATAATATGTTATGTAACAACAATGTAAAGCGATTGAAAAGGATATTTAAAATGGTTTTTTACAGATTACCTACTTGAAAAGCTAAAAATAAACTAAGTTATAATTTCATTGAAATGTTCGAGGTGCGTCTTGTATCTGATTTTTAATAATAGAAATAATAAGAATATCATAATCCTTACATATATATTTCAACTGTATTCTATGGTCCCTACTGTTTAAACAATAAACTATTGTCAATAAGAAGTGTTGTGTAAACCTTACCCCAATCAATGACAACCATCTGTTACAGAGGTGGGAGTACCAATTTTTATTTTTAGAATGAATGCTAACGCTAGGTCGACGAGCATCTCCATTTGGCATTCGCCCATTCATGACTGCAGACTCAGTTGGAGATGGAGTGAAATCCTGAAATAGAAAATATTTTATTATATACTTTACAATAGCATTTAATTCGTCATAATAATGATTAACAGTAAATATTATTTCACAAAATAACACTTGTTAGCTACAAGTTAATTTAACGTCAACTTACACCAACATTTTTGTGTCTTATCCTTTCAGGGAACAATAAGTCCAGATCACTACCAGTGGCACCATATACTTGGGTATCACGCTGCAATTGACCCTGGAATCTGAACATAAATATGTGACACAAATCAAAATATAAGAAGAATAAGAAGTTTGTACTTCTTATCAGAAGAAAATTAATCTAATAATGACTCAAGTACACACTTGTTTACAATCCAATTATATGTATTCTATTTCTGGCCCTCGACTCCAAAAAAGGGGTTTTGTAATATAAGTTCAATATGTTTGGATGTTATTATGACAGTCTATTAATTATTAACTAAAATAATATTGCATATATTATATGTATAAGTAGGTGTCTATAAAGCATCTAAATGAATTAATAAAGTAGATTTTGGTGATTGGGACAAATTAAGTAACCCATACATAGTTACTAAAATATGTTAAATCTACGTATTAGCTTGTCAAAATTACCATTGCAATATAAACATGCAACAAAGAAATTAACAAAACAACTAGAAATATTTTATGAAAAATACAATTTTTTTAAACCAAAATTTCCAAATTCGTTGAAGGTGTAATAAACGCTTATATATTTGTTAGAAGGTAAATAATTCTATTCTATAAGATCAGACGACATGATCTTGTAGAATTTTGTGATGTTTTCTCAAAAATGGTATTGGTTAGAAACACCATTATATATCTTAACTATAATGTTTACTATGTATCAACTGTTTGAGTCTAAAGTTTAACAATAAATTAACAACAATGAGAAACAAGTATAGATCTTCTAAAATGAAAACATCGAAATAAAAAATTGAATATATAATAAAAGAAACATTTCGATAAAAAACATACCTCATTTCTCGTTTGTGCTGCAAATCAAAAGTTTGGGCGAGAGCAAAGTAAGAGTAATCTATGCTAGCGTAGGTGATAAGAAATGGCATGGTGACGATGGGTGCAAGCTTGTTTATATCACCGATGATGATGAAGGTGACGGTTATTATCGCTACTACCACCATTGAATAGATTGGCACCTTATTGGGCCCTCTCTGTGGAACAACAACGAGATTTATTGGAAATATTTGCATTAACTACAGAGCAAGCATGACTTAAAATCCATTATACTACTATGTTTCATGCAGATCATTAAATTAATCATAGTAAAGAGATGCTTTTCTATAACAATTAATTCATTTTTGTGTTTACGTTCATTGCATTTTGTATACTATATCAATGCTAGCTAATTAAACAGGTCTAACAACAAGAATTACGGTAAATGTAAAAATCGGTATTTTCGTCTCTTGAAGTTTCAACTATTACATGCTATTGTTTATTAAAAATACATTATTTTTGTTAAACCCGATTAACTTCATTAATAATAAACTATTAAGTCATTTTACATTATTATACTTATAGGAAAGACAACTTTAAAATTTATAGCAGAAAGGTATATAATAAAGTAAAAGTATATAATTTGCAATAAAATATAAATTTGTTTTACTATAAAGGACTTTGTACTTCATTATAACAATACTTTAATACTTACCCCATGACCAAGAGTTTCTAGTCCAGGAATTACTTTTTCATTAGCAATGCTTTGAAGAACACGTGGAGTTCCATACATAGCACCCAGACACGAGCTCATTGAGCTTACATACAATCCCGCAAGAAGTAACACTTTCAAAGCAGAGATGTCTGCTGTTATAGAGAAATTTGTCAACAATCCATCTCTGGTTACTGTAGCTGCTAATGTTATTATAAACATTAGATATAGAAAAGTTCTGGAACATTTTAAAGAAAATATGTAATAGTAATTATATTTATTTACTGCTTACAAGGATCCTTTTAATATAATTTGCTTGAACTTTCAAGTCGGTACAACAATAGTTATTTCTTGTGAGTTTGGATGCTGAACTAGGTCGAGATCTGTACTACAGGATCTACATCTTTTAAAATATCTGTTTTGTGAGGTAATTTGAAGTGTGAAATGTATGATAGTTTGTATGTGGTGCATGAAACACCTGTGTGTTTATTTTAGTATAGTATGTGTTTGTTTATTGTGCTGTTACATTAGAAAATATACAGTTTCTTGTTTATATTGTTATACAAATATGGTCTCAAAAAGGCTAGAATCTCTAAACAAAAGTTTATTTATTTATTTTCGTTGTTTTAGAACTATTTCAATTATAGCATAATGTATCTTCCTATTTATTTGTGAAGTAGAAAGAAAGGTTGCAATGTTGATATTTAGCAGTCGAGTGACAAAATTTATTTTACATATTTAACTTTACTCGACTCAGCTTCGCTCGGATGTACATGTATTATATATATAAACTTTCCTCTAAAATCACTCTATCTATTAAAAAAACCTCTTCAAAATTCGTTCCATAATTTTAAAGATTTAAGCATACATGTACTATGTAATGTTAATATAATATATGTACTGCAAAGCACATGTTATTTTAAATCTCCATTATAGAGTTTATAAAACTACCAGGTATACCAAATGATATAAAACTACACTTGAAACATAAAGTTTTATAATAAAGATTAGAATTAAATATTATCATGTAAATGATTAATTCTTTTAACAACATAGTATGTACAATTTACATGCTTAACTAAGAGAGCCTTCTCACATAGTCAAGAGACTGAAGAGGAAGAATATACTATAGAAAGGCAGAAGTGGACCTCTTCGCCTACATAACAAGCAGCACTCAACACATCAGTTTATAGTCTTGCAACTGATTGCAGAACAAATTAGAAAAAAAAAATTACACTCAGCTTGGTTTTCTACAATACTAAACAAAATAAGAGTTAACAAGTTACCCGGTACTAATTGCTGCAAGTGAGCCACTTGGTATATTGATCGAAGGATTCTTTAGATCACCACTCATATTAATGCCTGCTAATATTCCAGTTATAGTAGGAAAGAAAACTCCAAAACATTTGAACCATGTGTAGTTATCTTGAAAATCTGACCATGTGTTATTAGCCATAGTTCCACTGAGCCAGCCTTTGAATTCTTCGCCTAAAGATATAAATAAAAGAAACTACAAATGCATAATCACAGACTTAAATATTACGAAGTACAAAATCTTTTATGTGTAAATGAAAATAGAGTCTAACTTTAACTTACCAGGTGTTGTAGTCAATGACCCTACAAAAAAATCAAGGGCAGCCAAAAGTATAATAAGAAGAAGTATAAATTGTAACTTTATCACCCATTTGACACCAGCCACATTAATGGTGCCTAGTAAAAGGACAGCAGCTACAGCAAAACCACGGGCTGCCCATGTGTTATCAGTTCCCACAAGGCTGGCCATTGATTCACCAAAACCAAACACATTTAAGGCACAACCCACAGCCTGCAAAATGATGAAATATTATTTTATTAGATAAAATACACTGTGAAAATTGTTCTTCTTGAATTTTAAAGAATATATTTTTATACAAGAATATTACAGTGAATTGGGTTTATAAACTCAGGATGTTTAATGTATTTAGCAAAATGAGCAAAATAAATAAAAAAAATTACCTGTCCAAAACAATAAACCATTCCCAATGCTCCACCCATTCTTGAACCCAATGTATGTGCTAGTAAAAAATATACTCCTCCACTTTCTATTCTGCATCTTTCACATATACCTACTGCTGATAACACTGAGATTAGTGCTACAAATACTGGAAAAATATTTCAAATCTATAAGTTTCATATGTAAACTATACAATATAAAATAATTTAAGTGATAAATACATAAAATAGACTAAATATGTATTTCAAAATTATATTTACCTGTAAAAATTACTATAAAAATAGCATTAACCAAACCAGCCTGTCCAACAATCCATCCTGATCTTAGAAATACAATTACACCAAATATATTAATCAGGCATGATGTGAATACTCCATCCCATGTGCCAAATAGGACAGGCTGGGATATAAAAAAGTTAGATTTCCACCATGGGATATCGCCCTGAAAGTAATAATTACTAAAAAAATATGTTCCCCAAAAAAAATTTTGAGGTTCCAGTTGTCAAGTTTGCTTGGATTATTTTAATTAAGATAATTTATTTATTCAGCATGTATCATAGCTATACCTGTATATCAGCAAATATTTCATTTGCTCCAGAGGCTTGATGGCCACCTGTACCATATTGTGATTCATTCCCCAAGTCCACGAAGCCACCTGATTGCCTTCTCATTCGTGTTCTATCAAAACCTGGCTCATCACTACGGAAACTATCAATATCCAAATCAGTTCTTCGAGTGCGATTATTCTGGTCCATTTTCTTTGTTTAAAACCGTTAACGACAACTGTACATAATCTTAAAAGTATTTAATTTTGTTTACTTATCATTACTATAGAAATAAACACTATTTTTTTTTCAGATTAAGCAGTGATTAGCAGTGTGACCATTTTATTTTTTCGCATTAATCATGTTGCCATACGTAACCTAAAAATAAGCTATATTGAGCAGTCATTTTAGAAATCTCGAAATATTCGGCCAAAAATATTTTAAAAATAATAAATTATACTTACTTAATCAAAAATTAACAATATGGTGCGTTGCCAATTGTCGACGTTGTGGTGAACGCGATAGTTGCATTTTATTTTGCTTTTTGTTGGCAGGTAGGGGGAAGCTACTGCCATTAATTTCTCTCTTAGATTAATTTTTGGTTTGATATCGGTCTTTCCGTCTTTGGGAACGGTTAGAAATATAAATTTACAAATTTTTTATCGCTTCTTATTCGGTTTTTTGGATAATTTAATTTCTGGATCTCTTGGGTGTGAATATAAATCACCTTAATCAATTTAGATGATTATATAGTAAACCTATTAACTAAATTGGAATTAAGTGCAGTGGAATATTGATAAATTAAAATCAAAAAGGCAATTGTTAAGCACAATAAAGAATTTGACAAATGGTCATATTGCCGGTAAACCAATACCTGGCACAGAAAAGGAAAGGAGAAATAAAAAAATATATATATATATATATATTATCTTATAGGGAATGCAAAACCAGCTAGTTTACACTATTCTCCATATCAAACACCAGAATCACTTATAGAAGATGCTGTCAGAGCAAAATTCTTGGATTTCCTGTCTCAAGAAATTCCATACAGTCTTAAAACCCAGTTGGAATATTATGATGATGAAATAGAAGATAGGATCGTAAGTTCAGTGGCTGTAGAATGTCCATCTGAGAAAATAGCCAAATTAATAAGTGGTGCTGGTGGCGGTAGATTACAACCCATTAAATCCCATATTAGAGATGATTTAATTAGCTTATTCAAGAAACAAGTTGTTATAGATATACAATTAAAAGTAAAAACTAAAAGTTTAAAATAATGTTTGTGCCTTATTAGAGAATAAAGAAAAAATACCCTGCAATTCGTTTCTTTTTCATCAATAATACTACAAAAAAGTCGTTGGTCATAAAAACATATCCGGAACTGGGAATTTAATCTGCTTAAACTTTTAAAGTAAATATATATATATATATATATATATATATATATATATATATATATATATATATATATATATATATATATATATATATATATATATATTTTTATATATAACTAGCTAACCCCGCAAACGTTGTTTTGCCATATAAATGAAAATCGTTTTTAAATGTAAGTACAGAAGGGTGAAAATGTAGGATACTACATATTTATTTTTAATGCTTTTTAATTAAGAGATTAGAAATTTTTAAATTTTATTTAAAAAATTTTTAATTTTATTTAAAAATTTTCTAAAAAAGTAATACAAAATATGTTAAGGGTGGACTATGGTGGTAAAAAAAAAATATATGCTACTATCTATTTTTAATACCTACCCAGGGTATGAAAAATAGATTGAAATAAAATTTTCAATAAAATTGAATAAAATTTTATATGCTACTAGCATATAAATTTTTATAAAAATCGTTCAAATAGGAGGCCGTTTCGGAAGACTATGGTAGCTAATATTGTGACACGAGAATTTAGTACCTAATACTAGCTGACCCCGTAAACGTTGTTTTGCCATATAAATTAAAAAATAGGGGTTAATGGTAGAAGGATGAAAATTATGGCGATGTTTGTTTAATGCCACATTATAAATAAATTAAAATATAAAATTCTGTCGAAACATTCATTATAAAAAAAATTTTTTGGAGTGCACTAACTTAGGGATGTAAAAATTAGTTATGAACCTATTCTCAGATCTACTGAATATACATATAAAATTTCATCAAAATTGGTCAAGCCGTTTCGAAAAAGTATAAACATGTACAAGGAAATTTTTTCTATTACAAGATTGACCTTAAAGTTTGTTGCCTAGAAACAAGTCAACAAGACACGTAGTATGCCTACTTTTTCACATTCTCGGAAGCTTAAGGAATTTAAAGTTAAATTCTTTAGTCCAATTTTAGAACTTATGTGGTGGATAATATTATTTTATAGTATGTTTATTTATTTGTTCTTAATGTGCAGAAAGCTATTAATCTACTAGATAACTACATACATACATAAAATAAATCATATTACATCTATATATATTTTAAATAAAAAAATAGATACCGTTGGTTTTTATGCCTACTGAAAAATATGATAATGCGCCTGTAATGTATTTATATATTAGTTTTATACATTGTAGGTAATAAGATACTTGTATATAATAATAAGGTGGCGGGTAGAATTTAAGACAAAACAGTTTATTAACGGCATTCCGAAATATAACAGCTAAGTGAACGGGTGCGTTATTATTTATCTCCGTATATTACAGCACCCATAGCCTGTCTATATGGAAAACTTTCTATAACACAGTCTTTGTTTTTAATTAAATTTCCTCCAATAAGCGGCGTTGGTGCAATTATTATACAAATTTGTTGATTATCTTAAATTGGCAATTGCACAGCAGAATAGACTGTACTAATGGATGTAATAAGTAGGTTTGCCTAGTTATGATATGAAAAGGAGGTGTTCTATTATCCAGCCGCGTTTAAAATTCCTTTAAGAATGTTTATATCCCTATTACCTACTGTTATTTATAAAATTTATATTAGTAACATTTATAATCTCAATATATATATAGTAGTTTACCAGATAATACTTACAAAGATAATGTACCTATACAATGTTTACCTACCTATAATCTAGTAGTGCTAGAATAATAATTTACGTATAGTGTATATATACTTAAGTATAGTGACAGCTATAAGAAATTACAGACTTCATTCTAAAAGATATTTCATAATGTAATTATTAAATATTTTAAAGAAAATGGTATATATTTTTTACAATTTAATGTTTGGTTCTACTATAGGGCGCTACATAATATGTTGCGGCTGATAGATGATGACTTTCTGGCAATTAGTGTTATTTTTATGTCAGAGTAGAAATCTATTACTGTTAATATACTGTATACAATTTTATTATATTGTAGGTACATTACTAAAAGGTTTTCAGTAAAATTTAGTTGTTAGCAATGAAGTTGCATTTTATTTTGCACCTTAATGTTTTTTTTTAAATTATACAGTGCTTAATCAACAGTTTCATTATCATTAGAATAGTCATAACAAATATTTTATTAATAGTTATTTTTTTTATATACGATTATTCAGTCAACTATTTTTTACTAATAAACTAAGTACAATAGGGACTACGTACGGATGGATAGTTATAAATGTTCATAAGTGATGTTATTATGCTGGATTGTGCACAAGTGAAATTAGGATTACATACGGATATGTCTAGGCTTAGATAGGTTTAAGATTTAAGTCTTCAATAAAAGTTACCTTCTCTATAATTGGATGAGAATAAATTAGGTCAATTAGCCAATAGTAGGCAAATTCGTTACGAAAATAACTCGCTTCTCAATGCATTTACTAAAATATTATGTACAAGGAAAAATAACAACGTTAGCATATTATTACAAAAAAAAGAACAGTTTATGAATAATGTTTCGGTAGAAAAAAACTTAAGATGTTATGATGTTCAGGGCTGAAAATATTATGTGATTCCATGAAATATTTGTGTGTAGGTACATCGATTGCCGTATACTTGCTCTTTGCTAATGTATACGTATATTGTGTAAATACCAATTTCACGAATATGTATATCAGTATTGACGTGGTCGAGTGACAAGAGTCAGTCATGCTTATTACTAATTTCCAGATAAGTTGTGACGTAGTGGGTTGGGTCAGACTATAAAAAATTGTTTTAGTCAATAATGGCAGGTGTTGCTGGATTGAAAAATGGCAGTTGGTAGTGACTGATCTTAATTTGTTACTCAAGTAACTATTTATTTACTTTTGTGAATTTGGTAATGTTCCACATTCCGAATACTTTCTTAGTATAAGCAGATTGTATCATCCACTTGCTTACTGGAGCAAAGGGTGCTTGAAAATACTGGCCACCAATAAAAACATATAATATAATATATTATATTCACTAAATCAATAAATTTCTTAATTAATCAATTAATTGTTTTTATTAAAATATATATTCTCTAGAGTAAGTACGTGGTTTAGACTGTACTACACATCGGGACGTTCCTGAGCAATGGTGAGTAAGTTTCGTGTTGCATTGTTTACTTTGTAGTGTTCGGAGTATGGAAGACGTTCGTCCTGGCCGAAATAGTAATTCTCCTTACTTTTCTAATAGTTGTATTCTTTTCAGAAATTACAGTCCACTCTCTGTATATATTTATTCTTTATACGGGATTCGTAATCCTACAGGTAGATTGAATTAGGTACTTACAGAAAATCTTAAAAATTAGAAGTTTATTAATATTTTTCTAACAGATGAATAGGTATATTTCTTACTCTTTCTTCTTGAGCTATATATTTCCGAATAAGTGGAAGAATTAAAAAAATATGAACTGAATTTATACTTAATAAAACCTTCGATCGATTTCATTTATTCATTAATTTTTGTATCTAGGTAGGAGCTTACTTACATTTTTTATACGTATCGAGTATAATAATCTTTTATAAAATATTACGGATATAAAGAGTTTAAGAAAAATAATATGATATCACATTATAATGGCCTGGTTATCTAGTTACAACGCGTCTTAATTATTTCTTTACGAAAATACTCAGTACTCTGAGTACTCTACTACCTAGTTTCTAACCATCAACGTAACTTTACATCGGTGTAATTGTTGTAGACATCTCAAAATTTTTATATTTTAATGGATACATTCTTAATCTTACAGTCATTACAATAAAAAATTCATACGTATCCAATTTATAAGTAAGTAATTATTCAAGAAAACGATGTCTATATCATGATACTTTGTTTTTTATCAAATTTGCGAAATCCGTTTAATCCGAAAAAAAAACGTGTTGGAATTTACCATAATATATTAATACTGTTATATGCGTTATATATACCTATATATATATTTATTATACACACAGAGAGTAGCATATACCAAGTAGAAGTATTGGCTACTTTTAAACTACAGGAAACACGCTTGCTGCCCTTCTAACTTTGTGAAGGCCACACCACCGCGAGTTTTCACAGGAATTTCATTAGAATATATTAAAATGCGCATAATATTGCAGGTAGGCGTGGATGGGTAATTGGTAAGTAATAGGTCGTTGAGGTAAGGTCGGCGCAGTTTGGGGCGCTATCTTAATCGTCCAGCGTTTAACCATATTTATGTCGCAATAAGTTATCAGAAGGCTAATTACGGCCGCGAAACCACCTGTCCGCTATCATCTGTACATAGGCCTTCGCATATACTTCCGTGCGTCTTACGCGCGGTCCCTCCCCCGTGGTGCGATTGGTTGGTGAGGGCGGTGCGCGCGCAGTGGCCCTCCTCGCAGCCTGGTGTGAGATGCTGCGACTCCGAAGGAGCCGGTCGCGGCCGCGATGTGCGCCCGTGGACAGTATTGTCCCGACCACGTCGTCACACTGCCGTTACTTACGAACCACAGAAAGTGCACGCCGTCGCTGACAGTGCACGCGACTTTGCAATTCTAACTGTACACTGCACTTATACACGAACAATTGATTGTAAATAAATGTATCAGGTTTCTAAACTTTAATTTAACTATCAACAAAACTTTGGCCAAGTAAGACATAACTTTAGTACTTTTATTAAAAGTTTTGATAAGTGTCAACTAGAGTTTAAAAACGGTGAAGTTGGTGATGTGATATGGCTAATCGACAATTGAACGGTTGCGGAAACGCTTGGTGCGCGCGGCTTATCGTGGTTGGATGCGCGTGGGCATGCGCGCTGTTTGTAGCCGCATCTGCTGATGCTCATGCGGATGTCGATACTTCAACGGGTCTTGGTGATAACACTCTCACGAATTCAGGTATTTTTAATATTTAGTGTTATGAATTGTTTTGATATACGACCCATAATATCATATTTACTTCTAAGTACATAAATTGCAAACTAGCATATCAATGGAGATAGGTAGGCAGCAAAGAATACCTACCTAGAATGCTTAATCTTTAAAGGGTATCTTACTTATTTAAGTTTCTTGCATTTAACAACTAAAAATAGAAATGATTACTCACAGATTGAGATCAATAAAATATAGTAAAAGTAATAATTATACGCACGCATATATCTATTTATTAGGTAGGGTTTAAGCAGAAGATTAAAATATAAATGGAAACAGCGAGAGGTATGGGGTTGAAGAATGTAGGTAACGAAGTTAGGAAGCATTCTAATTTATAAAGAATGGTACAAGTTATTTGATACGGATATATGATACTTTATAAGTTTGTATAAGTTTTTTAATATAATTTTATTTATTATTTTGTTACACATAAGTTATAAACTTAGACTGAAGTTTACTACTGGATGTTCCTCTAGTACCTTAATGAAATATTTTAAAAACTTATCTTTCACTTTTATAGAAGAGTGGATAATTAAATTAGTGTTATTAGGTAATATAATATCTATGGTGTAATTTAACGTATGGTTCGTTACATTTACCTATTATAGTAGAAACTAACATAAATGTTGAATATAAGGCATCATTATTAGGGTTTTTAGTTATATTAACTTTACATTTTTTGTTATAAGCGTTGAAAAAAGCTGTACATATTAGGTAGGTAATAAGTATTATTTTCGAATGTGTACTCTAATTTTAATATTGTAAAAAAATATTAATACATTCGTAGAAGATTGTTTAGATACCTAATATTTTAAGCTATTAAGATTATATTTTTATTTCGATTACATTTTGTGACACTGGGAATATAGTAGATACCATTTAATATAGGTACATCTTGGAAACATTTTGAATTCTCACTCTCACACTCATATTTAGAAATTTTCTATTGTATAAAAAAATTGTTGTCGAACTATTTTTAGATTATACAAATATAACGGCCTCGGTGGTATAGCGGTTTAGCACACCGCTTTAGTTCCAATGGTCGCGGTTTCGATTCCTCGTTATGTTTAGTTTATATATATATAGTATAATTATTTGTATTGGTTTGAGTGTTTTCTATGTATTATATTATGTATGTATTAAAAAAATAAAATATCTAAGTATTTATATCAGTTATCTAGTACCCATAACACAAGCTGTGCTTACCTTGGAACTAGATGGCGATGTGTAAATTGTTCAGGCATATTATTATTATTATAGTTGTGTAATATCCAACTTTATACATGTAATGAAACTGTTTTTTTTACAAATCACGTTATTCAAATATTACCCACATGAAGTACAGTAACACAGTAAGTAGAAGTAGTAGTAGTCTTAGTAAACTATAGCTTATTTTTAAACGACACATAATAGTTTGTACGCAGTTTTTGTGATTTTTTGGTGTCGTTATGTTTTATTAACATGTAGGTATAGTCGTAAGTACAAATTTTTGTTTGGATTAGTAGCCTGTTCGTGTTATTTCTTATTATATACCTACCTAGTTATCCTAATTCGTAATACTGATGACTAGTTATACATAATTAATAAAATATTATATCCAAAGTGTAAGTTTCTGAATCTAAATAATGAAGACATTTTGTAGTCACACGAGTGATATTTTTCACAATATGATATTTTTCTTGTACTTAACACCGCAGGAACAACGTAAACGAACTAAATTATTTTAAGTGACAATGATACCTATACTTGAATAAAAAAACTCTTGCAGAATTTAAATAAATCCCGTGAAATTATTATTATCTACTAATTGCCAGTCCGGCTTCTCTCGGTTACCTATACTAATAAAGAAATATTGACTCTGCTTTACAGTAAGACCGTGAATTGAAATAAAATATCAATCTGTCAATTCTACCAATATTTTTATATTATGATTTTATAATTCACTCCTTATATTCCTTATATTTATTATACAAGCATAGCAATTAAAAAAAAGTAACAAAACGAATTATCCATATAAGTGCAGCTATTTTGGAGTGGTGCACTTACACGGCAATTGATTTTTATTAATTTGGATTATTGTTCCATAATTTTATTTTACAACATGTAAATGTAACATAGATTACGCCTCACGCACCGCCTCCTTAGAATTGAACACTGTAGGATATAAATTATTTCTAAAATGGAATAATAACTGCAGTAAGAAATTAATGTTGAAAATATTAAAAATACTCCGTTGAAATATTATTATTGATTTAGGAACAATATGAATTTATGGAAGAAAAAATATATGGCCTATTTTATTGTGAGTGGCAGTGGGCGGCGTCGGCTTTGAACAACACCTACTTATTCGTGTACATAACACTCAAGAAATATATTAGACGTATAATTTATGTAATCTTGATTATGAAAGACGTGAAGGTGGAACTCACTTAATAGTTTATTTTGTGAATACAGTAGTGCTATTGATATTACGGTTTATCCATTAGTTTGGCTGCTGGACCATTAGCTTGTCTTACTATTATAACATATAAGATAATATCTACCTATTATCAATACTACTGCTATGTTTAGGAAAATATTATTTCAGAAATGAGTTATATTAATTTGAAAGTTGAAACACGTTTAAATGCTAAGAATATTTTTATTTGTATTTATAAAAGAGAGTATATGTATATTATACTACAAGTATATAAATGATAACACACGGTCATACTAACCACATTTTTACAGTGATCACGCGACTTTTGATATTTTGGTAAATTAATTCATGCCGATGAAAGGTTATAACTTATATGGTTGAAAGTTATAACTTATAACTAATAATTCTCTTTTTCGTAACTTTATAAGTCATTTTATCAATATAAAATTTGACTTATAAGTAGTCTGGGATATGAATTGTTGTGCTGGGGTATGAAATGTTCACATCTGACTATCGCATTGCTCCCACTGCAATAACAACAGTGTTTTAGTTTTTCTCGCAACTTCGTCTGTTTTTTTATACAAACGAAAACCTATGTTCATCTAATTTCACTGAAATCACCAGGTTATAAATACACATACTGGCTCATTTTCGCATTTATAACATTTATTATAAGACTACTATGAGAGAAAAACAGTGTTATTTAAAAAAATATGTAACAAATACAAAATGATAATAAAGTAATGATAAAATATTACTCTATTTGGATATTTATTATGCAAAATATTTGTGTATCTATGCGTCATACTCCTAAATTAGTATGTTATATATCATACTTCACACGTCAACTGGCTCGTAGGAATTCGCGTAATTTGCATTTATCAAATTGCAATACTATATGGATCGTATTGTTGTTAAGGCTCGTATCAAATTGTCGGACATAGTGATGCCAGTAATTTGGCCAGTCATAAATTACTCGTTTAACTGAATTACGCGAGTTGAAAGCATTCCGGTACTGCCGAATTCGAGCCATTTCCATTTCCCTGCAGCTCTCGCGCGGCCACTGATATGTAGGCATCCGACGCACTTCACAAATGAGCTTTGAATCAATGAAATTTAATTAGCGACGCATTGGCCATGCAAGTGTTATGCGAGCGCCGCTTACTGCGTCTGAATTGATTAACTGTTAAAACAAATATTATAAAGAATCTATTGGTAATATATGACATTATTGTGTGGGTTTTCAATTCCTTACCAAAATTAATGTAAAGAATATTATAGTGTAACTCATGATTAATTTGTACCATACAACTAAATCATCTTTCATTGTTAAATATATTAGGTACAATCAGTACAGGATTCATAGTAATACAATATAGTACAGTTAAATATATCTTTATTTTTAAATAGGTTAATAATACACGTAGGTACAATAAAGTCATAATTCATTAACATAACAACAATGCAATTTCTGTTTAAAATTATAACGATGTAATTATACTATAGTTCGCGCCATCCATTCATAAGTTTCTTGGCTTAAACTACCGATAACTATGAGCACAGTAACGAATTAATCAAAATTTCACCTCGGGTCTAATATGAGTCACGATTTTGGGTGTTAACAATGGAGAAGGCGCACTCAAATCGAAGTTGAATCACTACGTATATTTGAGTTCCTTTGTTACAGGACCGAGTAATGAAAGCGCTAGCTGATAATAATTTACGAATAGCAGAAGTGTCGTTGTTTAATGGCGAAAATAGGGGTCCGAGGAGCATTCCAGCGATTCAGCGGGTGGGTGCGCTCCAACACCGACTGACAGCCGCGCCGACAGCAAACTAAAATAATTATCATCATTGTCCTGGCCACGGCAAGCGCTTTAATTGTTCATTTACATTTGCAACGATGATACCAGTTCCGAACTATTTCACCCTGCGTTTATTTTACTCTCGCCCGTTATGCTGCCGTGTTATTGTTCAGGGTTAATGGTCTGAAAAATAGAAATGAATTGCATTTTGTATCATGCTATTTCATATATTACATAATGTACACTTTCATTGACACGTTTATGATTTACAGATTTATGGATGTGGTATAATAATGAAAGTGGTCGTAATTCATTCTAAACACTGTGTAATAGGTAAATGTGTCCCTAAAGTGGTGGGGACACATATACTGTAATATACGTATACACATATACTATGCTGTAATATACTAGAGATAATTGCCTAATGCGACAATCATTGCAGTGCAGTTTCATCCAATGGTTGTCGCATTAGACAATTAAGGGAATACAAGAAGTAATATTTTGATGATACGAGTAGTGAAACAATAGACGAAATCTTTTTTTTATAAGGGGAGACCTGCCAACAGAGAAGAACTGAAACTGAACAGGAAAACTGCTCTCACTATATTCAACGCTACATTACTTACTGTGGTTAGTGTGGTTTACACAAGCATTTCTAAACTACACCTGTAAGTGTTAAAAAATGGTTTGGAAGTGTAATACGTAAGTAAATTAAAATTTTACACATATTTTGAGTACTATCT